TGTCGCCACTGAACTCAGGGTACCCACAGGTGATGTGGGGCTCATGGATTCCCTACACTTTGCACTCACTCACTGATACTAAGAAAGCACCTGAGCTGCCAAACCTCTCTCCTTCTTCCAGGTCTCTGAATTTCAACTTATTCTCCTTCTGAACCAGCAGACAATCCCTCCTTAACCACCTCTCTCAGGAATCAGTTACCATAGGGAAAAACACTCCCTGATGGATTGTGCCATCACACCACTGACTCTCCTAAAGCCGGCTTTTTCTAGCCTCATTCACTTCTTTCTAGAAAAGAAGACTCTTTTCTGCTGACCTCTGAGATATTTGCAGATGTTATGGCCAGAGCACACTCCCTACATCAATAGTTCCCCTACCCTCATTGAAACCGTCCCTTTGAATAAAGTCTCTCTTTATCTAGTTCCAGGTTTGTTCTTATTTGACACCATGGACTGAAATCTTTACATCTGAGTTCTTGGATCTAGGCTTTTATTTCTGAAATTTCCTCAGGGTCAAAAGCCCTGTCCTTGAATTCTGAGCTTGTAGCCAGCACCCACTTCACTAACACTTAACAGCAAGGCCAGCCACCGCCTCGGCTTGGGAAAACTGCAAAGTCCCTGTTTCCTGTCAGCCTTTGACTCCAAGGCCTGGGATGCTGCTACCTTACTTAATTTCTATAGTCTCAGTATATTCTTTATCCTGTGATAAACACTTATTAAGTCATGTGGATCAATTCACTAGGCTAACCTAGGCTTCCTCCTGCATCTTGTCTCTGTGGGTTTTCCTATAGTGTCTACCTCAGCCCAGCGAGTGGGTCTGATCTCATATTTTAGCTTCTCAGAGTCTTCTCAATTCCACTGTATCTCAAAATATATAAAAAAAATCATTGCAGCATTTATATTTTAAAATAATAAGGAAGTACTGAGTGAAGAATTTTTACAAAACCCGTGGAAGCCAAGATATATTGTAGGTTTTATAACATTAAAACAAATTATAAACAACATAATTGCTCTTCTTTAAAGAAATGTTTTTTAAAATTTCATCTATGTATATAATAAACCATTATAAAATATTTCATCAAGCGATCTAGATCTTTAAAAATCAATACAGTTAGATCTCAGAAAATATGTTGAGTTTAAACATTTTGGATTAAAATTCTCTAAGGATTAGAAATATCAAATTTCCAATAGAATGGCAGCAACTTTTTGCTAATATTTGGCTTTTGGAATAATCTAAATTGAACTGTGATTATCTCTATATTAGGATGTTCACTACTTTCTACCATAGCAACTATCTCCTCAATAATTTCTGCATGCTTGGAATTTATTCATAAACTTTGCTGAAATAATTTAATTTGGAAATGTGAGTAATATGAAGTAATTTGTACTCATGAGACATTGACTGATTTTCCTTGAATATTTTTCTGATAACGAACGTTAATGTAAACTTGTGTGGCTAGATTATAGCTCACCTTATATACACATATGTCAACCACAGGATTGCAGAAGCAGAACCATAGGATAGAGTACTCCAAAATAGCTCAACAAAAACAAAGTATTGTTGTCTCTTTGCTAGAATGGTTCCCATGCAGATTCAGGTGTTTAAGAAATATGGTTAGTATGCACTAGACAGAAGACTGCATCCTGTCCTTCATCGGGCACCTCAATAAGAGCAAGTCCTCTCTAAGTTGTCCTCCATGAAAAAAGGTGTTCAGAGTGGAGAGAGCACAGATGCCTGTCAGACTTGGCTGAATCAGGTTGTAACTGTACCACTGTCAAGCATCTGACCACGGCCAAGTCACCTAAGAACTAGTTCTTATCTCCTTCACTGGTCAAATAGTCTGTCTTTTCTTTATAAAATTGTTATGCTGCAATGAGGTAACACATGTCAATGCACTTGGGAGGATGAAAGCAATATTCAATGAAAGTCACCATTAAAAACAGAGAAAACGGCCATGCCAGCTTTGATTTCAATCCCTATGTTTCAGATAACACGTGCCACCAACTCAAATTCAATTTCAGTTGAGAGCCCCTTATACAACCGTGGTAACTTCCTTCTGCACATAAAATGCATGTTATTTTATAAATCCAGAGTAAATTGCTATTAAAGACTTAATATGTGACAAGCCAAAAATGTTTCTAATTGTATGTAACTAAACCACAGGGGTTAGAGCAGATTTGAAACTGACTTCAAGCAGAAGTACACTGTCCTAGCAACTCAGAGACCCATGAAGGAGAAACTGATGTTTACTGAAATTCAATTAGATTTTGGGAAAGTGTGTTATGTAGTATTGTCACGGCAAAACTTTCCGAATACAAAAATTGGTATCAGAAGTGGGGTGCTGCCCTAACAAATACAGAAATTACATGGCATTGGCAGAGTGGCAAGCAATAGGTAAATGATATTGGACACTGACAAATGGTTATCTATGTTCTGCAATGACAAAGTATTTGGTCAAATTATTATCTCTAATAATCTAAAGTCAGAAAATGTTCTAATGGCCTGATCTGGTGGCACTGGACAAAGAGGTTGTAAGTCAGATTGTGATAGTTTGAGTTTATTGTTATTATTGTATCTGAAAATGTCCTTTAAGGAAGGCTTGATTTCATGAAAGAACTACAGAGTTTCAAGCGGAATTAGAGGGAATAGGTAGAATCTAGAAATTTCAGACCCTGAAGATTTGAAAAATAAAACTATTCTCATTCATATTTACACTAATACATGAGGTTCAGCATACCTTCTCATCATTCTGAAGGCACTTTTAAGCAATGCTGCAAGACAGATTACAGAGCATCTGAAGGTTTTAATATATTCAGTGTGTATCAAATGGAGAGTCTCCTGGATATCCACTTCCCATATTGCTAGATATGTTACTTTTTCTTTCCATATTCACAGTAATTTTCCACTTCAGGAAGTAGCAATAAGAAGTTGTATTATATTAATTTATTGAGGGATAAATCCACTTTGATTCTGTAACCCAGTTGCCAGTGGGTATGCCATGATGGGTGTTTCCGGACGGCCCAGCTTCTCCCGGACTGAAAGTCAGACTGCATTATGTGTCTATCCTGGCAATATGTTAAGACTTTCTTTTAGTGTTGGTCTTTTATGAAAACATGTAAACGGTTTTTTGTTTTCCCTTTGAAACTTATGAAGCCAAAATTTATAAAAATTTTCAAGGAACATTATATATGGTTGGTGATGAAGTGTCAAATATGGGGTGTTGATACAGCTTACAATACTTGAAGAAGGACTGAAGAGAGAATTTTGACATTAAGAAGAAACTAATCAGTCTATCTTGAAAAGAAAATATTACATTTAAAAATCAAAGACACCACATGCTCGTTAAAATAGCTGAAGTCTAGAAAGCTTACAATATGTGAAACAACAGTAGCTTTCATTTATTTCTGGTGAAAATGAAAAATGGTACAGCAACTTTGAAAAGTAGATTGGCAATTTGTTATAAAGTAAACATAGTCTTCCCATAGACTATAGCAATGGTGCAGCTATGTATTTACCCAACCAATTTGAAAAATGATGTCCCCACAAAAACCCGAACATAAATATTTATGGCATTTTCATTCACAATTGCTGAAAACTGAAAGCAATCAAAATGTCCTTCAATAAATGAATGGATAAATAATTTGTGGTAGATTTATACAATGAAATAATAATCAGTGATGAAAGGGAAATGAACTCTCAAGCCAAAAGAAAATGTAAATGAATCTAAACTGTGTATTGCTTAGTGAAAGAAGGCAATCTGAAAAGGCTGTATGATTCCAATTATATGGCATTCTGGGCAAGGCAAAACTATAATGACACTAAAAAGATCAGAGGTTTCCAGGGGTTCACAGGAAAAGGGGAAATAGGTAAAGCATAGAGGGATTTTTTTTAGAGCAATAAAACCATTATGTATGATACCGTGATGGTAGATACATGACATTACACATCTGTGAAAACTCATAAAACTTTATAGCACAAAGACTGAACTTTTATGTAGACAAAGGTCAATTAGGAATTTGGAGGCTATCCACAGGAATGCAGTCTGTGACAAAATAATATAACTATTACAAATGCATGAAACAACTTCACTAAAGGGGAAGGGGGACACTATGAGGAGGACTGGAATATGTAAGACTAAGGACAAAAGAAACTGTACTTAAGCACTGTACTCTAGTTGATAGAGTAGTTACCTACGGAGGGGTAGATTAACAATTCTGATACCATTATACATGTGCACCATATGTACTAGAATTGAAAAATGAACTGAATGGACAGTGATTGGTAGGAGTCAGATTTATCACTGTTGGAGGAAGAGTTTACAGATAATCAAGACAATGAGGATAGAATAATTCAGATAGTAATGGATTACATTTGGAGATGTTGAGACTCAGAAACCAATGCCCCAAAATGTGACATTTTGATGTGCTGAGTTAAAGAAGCCTCAAGGTTTCTCTGACCTTTCCCCTTCCCACTTTATCCCCAAAGAAATTAGACTTTCTTTATCTGCCTAAGATCCAGACCCACCAAAGAGAATAATTGCTTTTTCTTCCCCTCCCTGATATTACAAGGAGGGGAAGACACCTGTACAAACCTGAACGATGCTTTTACAAGATAATGGTTGTGTCCAAGGATCATTTGAACTCTAAAAATAGCAACTTACAAGTCAATTTATGTTCCCCATCCAATTATTCTTCATAGCACTCATTTATTGCCCCTCAACAAAATGCTTCTCTCCTCTCCCATAACCAAGATCAAGGCCTCCATTATTTCTGTAACTTCAACATGGTATATAAACTTCTGTAACTCATTGAAGGGTTGGGATTTTTTTTTTTTTGAAGGCTCCTGTGTATACACAGTAAAAAAGTCTGTATACCTTTTCTCCTACTGATCAATCTACTTCATGTCAGTGATTTTTCAGCAAACTTTGACGCTTGGCACCCTTGTGGTCCTTGACACTCACAGAGACATCAATATAAATTTGTAGTTAGCTTAATAGAGATGCATGGCTATGTATAGAAATGTTTATAGACTCCCTCCAGCCTCAGCCACGCAGCATGGGGTGAACCTCAGTGCCCCAACACCTCCTTTCCAGCAGGCCGGTGGTTATGGCCAGCATGGCTACAGTACAGGTTATGATGACTTGACCCAAGGGACAGCAGCAGGAGACTACACCAAAGGTGGCTATGGTGGACCATCGCAGGCACCAAAGAAGTCTGCACGTTCTGGACCTGGCAAAGGAGTATCGGTGTCTTCAAGCACCACCGGTCTACCTGATATGACTGGTTCTGTCTACAATAAGACCCAGACTTTTGACAAGCAGGGATTTCATGCAGGAACCCCTCCACCTTTCAGCCTGCCCTCCGCCTTGGGTTCCACTGTGCCCCTGGCCCCTGGAGCGGCCCCTGGCTATGCACCCCCACCATTCCTGCACATCTTACCAGCCCACCAGAAGCCCCACTCACTGCTGCTGCACCATCATCTTCCGCAGGATGTGCAGAGTGGCTCGGTTCAGCCCAGCCAGCCCAGTTCCCTGCAGCCCAAGTCTCAAGCCTCCAAACCCGCCTACGGCAACTCTCCATACTGGACAAACTAAACCCAAAGAGAGGGATGGGTTGGGGCAAGGCTTACCCTGGGCAGGAGAGAACACATGAGCACATATATGGGAGCCCAGTGCCCTTTTCTAGAATTCCCAAGACTAACTGTGTCAGCCGTGCCTCTGTGGGGAGCCTGCCTCCCAGACTGGCTATTGTATGTAATGTATTTATGTATGTATTTGTAAATGTGATAGAAGTCCAGGGCAGTGGAGGGGATGGCTGCAGATGTTAGCCAGGTCTGCTCTCCCCATTCAAGCCCCTTTTCTGCTGTAGCAAAATAAGCCTCTCCACCCCATCTGCCTTCAGGCCTTCTTCATAGCTGCTGCTGCCCAGTGGGCCATTAGGGGCAGTCTCTGGAAGGCTGGTTCAAGGCCATTTAGGTATAGGGGTCAGGTACCAATGAAGAATCACGACTTATCTCACTCCTTTGGAAACTATTATTTTAGTTTTCTTTCCTGTGTAATTCATACCTCTATTTCTGAGAAACTGTTCCTTTTGTCATCTGTCATGGTCCCCTTCCACCAAATCTTGGGAATAGTAGCGATATCTCTCCACCCAACACAAATATGGGCACCTGTTTTTCTTCATATATAACAGGGGCTTCTGGTCTGGTCATATCCCTAGAGACTTACTAGAGACTGGCTGACCATTTAAAAAAACAATAATCATCTGAGTTGTTCAGCCATTCAGCTCCCCTTTAAAAATCAAAGATATCTCCAAGCAATGCATCTCTCTTCCAGTTGTCCTGAACCAGGTGGGCAGCTGTTTCAGGGGTTTTCTCTTGCCCAATCCCCACCTAATAAAGTTCTGAGAGCAAAAAACAAACAAAAAAACAAACAAAAGAAATGTTTATAGACGTGTACTTCTGGGGCTAGTGTACACATATATTCCCTTGATCTGTCAGCTGAGAGGACCTAGAAACAGACACTCTTGTAGAAAAGAGCACACCAAGCTTTAAGATCTTGGTTTTTAATGCTATTCAACAAGCAAGGAACAAGGACTACTTGGAGAAATGGCTTATTCTAAGACTGGGAAGAACATATACAAGATGACACATCTTATTGTGTCAAACAGTGATGGAATGTTATGGACTGAATGGTTGTGTGTCCCCAAAATACTATGCTAAAATTCTAACTCCTAATGTGATGACATTAGAATGTAAAAGGTAGGCCATCCTCTGGAAAGTGATTAAATCATGACGATAGCGGCATCATTGAAACTGCCTTTGCAAAAATTATAATAAAAGCAATCTAGCCTAACTGACTTCTCCTTGCTTCTAATATCATAAGCTAACTACAACTGTTTTTGTTAAATTTATAACAAATATAATAATAGTTTCTTCCTGAAACTGACCCTCTCCTTACTGGGAACTAAAAAAACCGTTGTAAGACTAAGATAAGGTTACAAGGTTAGAATTATGGGAGGGGCCTGAAATCTGCTAAAATGTAGGCATAAACATTAATCAGCTATTGTTTCCTAGCTTGCCTTTTTACAATAACTTCCCTGATTGCTCCTATAGATCACATCACTATTGTATAAACCCAAGACTGGTCTTTGACATATTTTTCAGACTTTTGCATTCTGGCAGCCAGCTGATTCCAATGGGAGCCATGACTCACCTATAAACCGACTCAGCTGATGACCCCCAACCCCACAGGAACTGACTTGGCACATGAAAATGGTTTGTATACTCCTATGGTTTCATCCCCAACCAATCAGTACTACCAAGTTCCTAGACCTCTACCCATCAAATTATCCTTAATCCTGGCCTCCACTCTCTTAGGGCGGAGTATCTGAGAAATGTCTCTCATCCTTCTGCTTTGCTGGACCTGCGATTGTTAAACTCTTTCCTTACTGCAAAACCTGCTGTCTCAGTGCATTGGCTTTTCTGGGCAACAGGCAAGAAGAACGCATCAGTCTGTTACAACAGTAATAGTGCCCTTATACAAGAAACCCTAAAAAGTTCTCTATTTTTTTTTTTTTTGCCATATGAGTATATAATGAGAAGAAAACAGTCTGCGGCCTGGAACCGGGTCCTCACCAGAATCCAACTATGCTGGTACCCTGAACTTAGACTTCTGAGCCTCCAAAAGTATGAGAAATAAGTTTCTGTTGTTTATAAGCCACTCAGTCTATGGTAATTTGTAACAGAATCCTGAAAGGACTAAGATATGGAGAGATGTAAAAACTTCAACTAAAAGAACTCCCAATGTCTAAAATGCAAAAAATTTGAACAGTAAAATAAATAAAATAGTATTGATATATAAAATGAGTAGTGATATATCTGTGTTATTTAAAGGAAGAATTGAACAAATAATAAAGGAAAGGAAAGGAAAGCAAAAAATCTCAGTTGCAAAATAATCCCAAGTTATTTATATAGATATTGTTTTCTGAAGAAGTTGTATCACAAATCTCCACTCCTTAGGTATAGGGTCTCCCAAAGAGTCCAGATACAAAAAAGTGTCTAGACTTTCTAGAGTCTAGCATTATAGAGTCTACACAATACAGACAGGAAAAAGTGTACTTCACATTGGGGAAATATAACAAACACTTCCCCAGCTAGCCAACTTCAATATCAAAAGTGTTAAGTCATGTTGATATATGTACCTTGATACAGTGTGATGAAAATGTCACATTACTTTTGTGGTCTTCATACTAGAAGACCATAATCCCAGGATAATCATGAGAGAGCATCAGACAAGTCCAGTTGAGGGACATTCTATAGATTACCTTACCCATACTCCTCAAATAATCAAGGTCGTCCAAAACAAGGGAAGTCTACAAAACTATCACAGACAATAGGAGTCTAATGAGACATGACTACTAGATGTAACAAGATATTCTTGATGGGATCCATGGACAGAAAAAGGACATTAAATAAAAACTCAGGAAACATAAAATATGTATAAATTTTAGTTAATAACAATGTGTAAATAATGATCCATTCATTATAACAATGATTTTATACTAATGTAACATATTAACGATAGGAGAAACTGGGTGTCAACCATGTGGGAACTCTCTATACTATGCTTATACTTTCTCTGTAAACCTAAAACTGTTCTAAAACAGAAAGTTTGTTTAAAAATGTATTCACAAAATGGGTCTCTCATTTTATTAACACTTCCAAAATTATAGTAAAGTGATAGAAGCAAAACAAATGTTCTCAGATTTTGGTAAGGAGGATAAATTTAGTGAAATGCACAGTGAAAAATGCTGAGGCACAGGAAGCTTACCCCAGGAACTCACTGGCCATAACGTCAATCTCTCCAGAGGACAAAAGGAAAGGAGGGAGAGAAGTCACAAATGTTTCAGGACAAATTCTTGCAAGAATCATTAAAGAATCCAGAAAAATGATTGCTGTTACAAATGAGTTTGACCATGGTTTGAACAAAAACATCACATTAAAGATACAATTTCAAGTACAGTTGTGTTCTCAGTAATTGAACATTCACAAACAGAGGGAATGCAAACACATACTGTTATGTGCTGAATTGTGTCCCTTAAAAAGATGTCGAAGTTCTGATCCCCACTACCTGTGAGTATTTGGAAGTAGGGCCTTTGCAAACGATTGAGTTAATGTGAGATCATTAGGATGGGCCCAGATATAATATGACTAATGTCCTTATAAAAGGGAAATTTGGATTCAGAGAAAGACACAATGTGTGAAGCTCAGTTAGGCTGCCCAAGCCACAGAACCCCAAAGATTTCCAGCAACCCTCAGAAGCCAGGAGAGAGCCAGAGACAACATACTCCATCATAGCCACAGAAGGGACCAACCCTGCCAACACCTTAATTTCAGACTTCCAAGGCTCCAGAGCTGTTAGACCATAAACTGGTGTTGTTTAAGCCACTCAGTTGGTGGTACTTTGTTACGGCAGCCCTGGTGAATTAGCACACATGGCTGGCTGTTTCTTTCCTTCCTTCTTTCCTTCCTTCCTTCCTTCCTTCCTTCCTTCCTTCCTTCCTTCCTTCCTTCC